ACCCCTCCAGTGAAGGCGAGCTCTGCAGGGTTTGGGGGCAGCAGCAGAGGAAGCAGCAGGCGACACCACACCAACTGTCCAGCAGGGAGGAGGGGCAAAGGAGCGGGGCACAAGCAGAGAGGGGGGAGGAGGTGGCTGGGGGGGGCAGCGTCCCAGCAGACCCCAGGCCTGACTGTCTAGCTAGCCAAGGAAAACAGACACCAGTGTCGACACCTTAGGCTGCGTACCAGGGTGGGGCTGACGGCCATGAGGGCATAGTGGGGACTGGGGGACCCAGGGAGCCCAGGATGGCAACTGAGGGGCAGGGCCTGGCCCCCATTCTAAGTGTGTGGGCCTCTGCCTCTGTGTGTCTGTGGTCAGGGCTGCTGGCCTACCTGGGTGCCACATGAGCCTGCAGGGTTGGGAATGTGTGTGCACACGAGTGAGGTGTGTGCGCATGTATGACTTGCACACCAGATCCGGCCACAGTTCTATTACACGGACACAGCGACCCTGCCTCAAACCCACCTCAACCACAGTGCCTGGCCCCCTGCACCCTCCTCCCCAAGGGGTCACCTCCCCAAACACCACACCCTGGCAGCTGCTGTGTCATGGGTGAGTGCCAGCTGTCACAGAATCCTCACCCTAGTGCCAGCTCACACATCCAGCAAGTACAGCTGGCCACCTGCGCCCACTAGTGTAGCCTTCCATGGCCCCAAGAGCTGAGATCACGTTGGACCAATTTCCCAGGTGAGACACTGAAGCCAGGAGCGGAAATGACTGGTCCAGAGTCTCCCTTTCTTACCACCACCCAGGACCTCAGAGCTGGCCAAGGAGGACTTGGGGGACTTGCCTAAGGCCACCCAGCACTGCCACGCTCCAAAGTGGGAGCTCTTCGCTTCGAGCCCCAAGGCAGGCTGACTCATGATGTTAGAATCATGACTTGCTTTCAGGCTCCAGGCCTCTGGACCCTCCCAGCACACTCCTCCAAGCCTGGCCCTGAATAACATCAGCAATTCAAAACCAAACCAATCAATCAATTGCTCCATCCATACATCTCCAAAGGCTTGCACCCTGAGAAGAGATCAGAGGGGGCAGCCCTGGCTCTCATAAGGGCTGGTGAGACTGTCACCTGATAAGCCCTCTGGAAGGCAGTTTGGTCTGGTGACTTTGAAGAGGCCCCAACCTTTGACCTGGCAGCCCTCCTCCAGGCATCTGTCTGTCTAAGGAGCACTCAAGCCCTTGCTCACAGGGCTACCCACTGTGGGAGTATTTACAAGAGAGAAAATAGGAAACCAACCAAAACAGGTGAGTCAGAAGAGCTGGCCCACTCCACAGCTCCCTAAATGCATGGCCAGCACGGTGCTAGAAGGCTGAGTGAAAGGAGGGTAGTCGCAGGGTGGCCGCACAATTGGCTAACCTGCATTATGGACAGTGGATTAGATAACAGTATTGTCTCCACGCTAAATCTGCTGAATTTGAATATATCTACTATAGAGTAAGAGAATGCTGTTCCCAAGGGCTGAAATACTCTACTAAAATATTAAAGGGTAAAGGAGCCCGCTGTCTGCAATTGATTCTCAAGTGACTTGGGGGAAAAAATGCTATTGAGAGAGCTAAGGATTTAGGGAATGTAGCAAAGTATTTATAATGGGTAAGTCTGGTGTGGCAGCCAGCCTCTGTGACAGCCCCTAGTGATCCCAGCTCCTTGTTTCAGTCTCCTCTGACACCAGGGTTGGTCTCTGTGACCAATAGAATTTGGCCAAAGTGATCATAACTTCCAAGGTTAGGTTATAAAAAAGACTGTGGCTTCCATTATGGGCAAAGTCTCACTCTCTCTCTGTTGGGTCATTTGCTTTGGTGGAAGCCACTGCGCAGTGTATTATGAGGTACTCCTTAGAGAGGCCCCTGGAGAGAAGGGCTGAGGCCTCCTGCCAACAGCCACATGAGCATGCCATCTTGGAAGCCAATTCTCCAGGCCAGTCAAGTTTCCGGATGACTGCGGTCTTGGTTCACATTCTGACCTCATGAGAGATGGCGGGCCAGGACCCTCCAGCTGCTGCTTTCAGATTCTTGCTCTTAGAAACTGTCTGAGATAAGTTAATGTTGGTTGTTTTAAGTGGCTATGTTTTGGGGTAATTTTTTACACAGCAATGCGTAACTAACACATCTGGTTAAAGAGTAAAGAACTCCGATGAGTTCTTTGTACTATTCTTGCAACTTTGCATATACTTGAAAGGATTTAAAAATGAACTTTAAAAATACCCAAATTAAATCTGTTCTCATTAAAAATGCAAAGACAAATACGCACACACACCACAAACAAAGTAAAAAATCAAATGATATACTGGGGGAAATATCTGGAATTCATAGCACAAACCCCACCTCTCTCAGCTGTAAAGAGCCAATAGAAACCACCAAGAGTAACAGAACCAGTGAGAGAGGGGCAAAGGGTCTGACTAGACAGTGTGCAGGAAAGAAAACACAAAAGGCAAAAGGATTTCAAGAGATGCTCAAGTTCACCTGTAATAAGAGAAATACAAACCGAAAGCACCCTATGGAACCATTTTCACTCATCCCATTAGGAAGAAGCCCTGTGTCTCATAAAGACACTCAGACATTGCTCATGGGGTTCTAACCGTGCATGATGTGCTACAGAGGAACACAGCCTGACAGGAGCTACCAAATTATAAACGCACATTTGCTGTGATGCAGCACATAGGTTCCTGGGAAGTGACCAGACAGATGGATACACTTGCTCATGGGAAATGAGAGGAACAAGTTGTTCACTGCAGCTCTGTGTGGAGTGCCAAAGCCTGGACACAGTCTAATGTGAATGAATATAGCATTTACTGGGGAAACGGGATTAGTTTCAGGACCCCCCAAGGACACTGAACCCCACAGATGCTAAAGTCCCTTATATAAAATGTCATTGCATTTGTATATAACCTACATACATCCTCCCTTACATTTTAAATCATCTCTAGATTACTTATAATGCCTAATACAATGTAAACACTATGTAAATAGTTGTTATACTGTGTCATTTAGGGATCAACTTTCTGAAATTTTTTTCCCCCTGAATATTTTTGATCGGTGGTTGGTTGAATTCGCGGATGCAGAACCTGAGGATATGAGGGTCAACTGTCATGTGCTAGTTTCTGGGCAGAGAGAAATGGAAGGGAAATGTGAACTCATATGTGCACCAGGCTGTATGTGCACAAAGAACCGTAAGGATTTAGGAAAATAAGTCACTGTAGTTAACTGGAGGGAACGCAGGCTGGACGCGTAGGCACGGGGTGGGACACGTGCCCCATACTTTAAAAAGTGCCCTTTGCCCTGGCCAGTGTGGCTCAGTGGTTGGAGAGTAGGCCTGAGGACTGAAGGATCTTGGGTTCAATTCCTGGTCAAGGGCACATACCTCGGTTGCAGGTTCGATCCCTGGCCCCAGTTGCAGCAAGCTGGCTGCAGATCTGGGGTTGATGAAGCTACTGGAGGAAAAGCCCCCACAGGCACAAGCCTCAGGGAGGAGCAGCTGGGTTAGCATTTTCTTTTTTAAAAAAAAATGTCTTTATTGATTTCAGAAAGAGGAAGAGAGAGATAGAAACATCAATGATGAGAGAGGCACTGATTGGCGGCCTCCTGCAAGCCCGCTCCTGGGATCGAGCCTGAGATCCAGGCATGTGCCCTGACCGGGAATCGAACCGAGATCTCCTGGATCTTAGGTCAATGCCTACCAGATTGGCCAAGTTCAATACATTGCGGAGGTTGTGGGAATACCAAGTTTCATACACTGCTGAGGCATGGCTAACATATTCTGGGGATAAAGGAGAAACCAGTGTATACTCTATGGAGAGCAATTTAACAATACCTGTCAAAACTACAAATAAATATGCTCTTAGATGCAGCAATTGCCTTTCTAAGAACTCACCCTGCAAAATGATGGATCTACAGTCATTTTTTACAGCCTTGCTTATAACAGGTAAAGAGCAGAAGTAACCAAAGTGCCTCAGAGCAAGGCCTAATGCTTAAATGAACAGCAGCACATCCACACAGAGGAATACCACGCAGGCGGGTAAAAGCCGTCTCCCAGGCAACTCGACGAAAGCAAGGCACACACCTGCACGGAGCACGCTGCCATTTTTGTAAAAGTGGAAGGAAAAGAATCCAGATGTTATTTTGCTGTCTGTGCGCGGGAAAGGAGGGGCTTCTCGTCTGTATCTTTTGAAATGTGAACTATCTGAATGCTTCATTTGTCCAGATAGGGAAATGGTAACTTTAGGAAATCATCCATTTCCTGCCATGTGCACCAACTTCCTGCCTAGCTAGCCTGTGGGCTCCTGGGGCTGGCACTGGTCTCAGGAGTCCATGACTGTCAGGAGACCCTCAGGAAGTGTCTGAGAAGCGGGAGAGCACCAAATCCCAAGCCAGCAAGACAGAGCGGCAGGCAGGGCAGCCAGGGGAGGCAGGGGAGCGGAGGAGGCGCGGGGCAAGGCTGGTCTGCGCTGCGACACAGGCTACCTGGGGGGCTGGCGCCGGGGAAGCCTGGCCATCAGAAGCCTGAGGGCCAAGGCCAGCTCCTTTGGTGACGGGGGTGGTCGGGGCTGGGTCTTGGGTAGGAGCCGGGGCGCTGACTATGACCGAGGCGGGCACGGAGAGGTGGGGACCCTCGGCAGAGAGGGGCTGCTGGCTCCTCTCCTGAAATGGGCAGCCGGCAGAAGGTCACCAGGCCGCCCCCAGACCTGCAGCCTCTCCACCCCACCCCACTCCACCCCACCCTCACTGATGCTCCAGAGGAGGCAGTGGGAACTCGGTGCGAGGGGCACCAAGAGGCTGGCAGCCCAGGGGTCTGGGCACGAGGGAGGCTGCAACCTGGGCAGCTCCTTCTACTGAGTCCCTGGAGATCAGCAGTCTCCCAGCTGCACCTCGCCCTCCACCTCTCCCTCCCTCTGTCTGTCCACATCCTGCCTGATGCTCCTGGGACCTCTCCCCAGCACTCCAGCAGGAAGGCAGTCTGTCCGTCAGCCAGTCACTTGCTCTCCTTGTCAGTCTTTCTGTTAGTCGGCCAGCCGTCCACTCTCTGCCTGCTTTTCTGTCAACCAGTCCCTCTCCTTGTCTGCCTGTCCCTCTCCTATGTTGAGACAATTCCTCTCCTTGTCTGTCACCTGCCAGCTGGCCCCCCTCCTTGTCTGTCCCTCTCCCTGTCCGTCAGTCGGTCCCTGCTACCCTCAGGCCTCCTAGGGGACACTGTCACGCAGAGCAGGGGTGCCACCTGAGATGCTCTCCTGGCCCACAAGACCTCCCCAGTCACTGACGCGCTGCTCCCAGCCCCTCCGCAGCAGAACCCCTGCCCCTGCCCTCTGCCCCTCAC